ATTACAGTTAGGCGGCCTTACTGTATAGTTAAATAACGAGGATGCGACAAAAAATTACTTAGGAGCTGTTGATGAATGATGATGATGATAATAATAATAATGATGATGGCAAATAAATATAATATTTTATGAGTGAAGTTGAAGGAAGCAAGGTTCTATACATACAGATGTGTTGCAACCCACACAGAATGTGTGTACCCTTTTTTACATTTGGTCTTCCACCACGGCCTCCGCAACCGCGCGCTACCACCACCTCAGTTTCAGCCACCACTTCGACCAGCAAACCTACCGCCGCCGCCGACATTCTCCCACCGCGGACTCGCACACCTCTACCGTCTCGTCCGTACCGGTCGTCTTGTTTCACTTGTCAATTAAGTGAAAAAAAATATAATGACATGCACACACAAAAAGTAAAACAATTTACTGACAAAAAAATAAAACAAAACAAATAAAAATCCACACCAAAACTTATCGTAAAAATATACCAACACTGGCATTCCCAAAATCGTATCCATACTATACAACCTGCTCTCTAAGATGGCTGATTTCGTATGAATAACTTTACGACCCATATCTGTCCGCGACCGCCAGGTGGACGCGAGATTTAAGCATTTGTTTTTTTTTAGTTTTATGAAATATTTAATCGAAACTATACAATTGTAATTATTGTTATGTTTGTAAATAAGTATGTTAACGATATTAAAACAATGTTTACCATTCAGAATTGTACTATTAATTTAAAACAATTGAAATTAATACGAACATGGTATCAACATTGCGGTCGAAATGGCAAGCAGTGTTTGATAAAATGGAACAGTTTATGTACAAATAGTCATCTAATATGTTTTAAATTAATAGAAAAGTATTTATGACTTACCCATTCATGTTTAGCTTTAATATTAACTTCCGAAATCACTTTCAACAATTAATACTTTGCACATAAACACACGACACCGCGTCAGAGAACGAGCTGGGATTGTATTTTCTATGGTTCGTTTATGAAGCGTGTATGATTTAATTGCCGTCTTTGTTTAATTCTCTGCATGTTGTACCAGTTATAGGGAGATACGTATACTTTTACTAGGGCTGTTTCGAATCCGAAATTTATAAGTAAACAGAAACCTTCTGATGGTTGTGGACAGATGCGTACTTTTTGACAGCAACCTTTAGAAGGTTTTGGACTGACGAGAGAATAAAACTTAAAGGAACTTATATAAAAAAGAATATTATAAGTTCTCTATTCTTAACTTAACTCTAATATACATACTTTATAGTCGTGGGGGCTACCCTATGTACACCTCCCACTGACAAAAAAAATTAAACATTTTTTTAATATTGTAAAAGGTTAACCCTAAATAAAATCTTACGTTCTAATTATTAAAAGATATAAAATTCAACTTGGCTAGGGAAGGACGGCTGGCCAAACCTTCTATGCACATAATAATTCCTCAGTCACATTAAAATTAATACGATGTATTTTACATACATACAACATACGTATTTGACATATTTAGGTGAACATTCGCGAAGGTATATTATTTTGGTCGACACATCACCATTTTTTCAGAAACTAATGACTTATAAAACTTATAAGTATACATCTTGAAGATTCAATAAATATAAAACAAAAAATATCACATTTCATTTAAAGATAAAAAGAACAATAAACATAATGTAATGCAACGTAATCATGATGATCGTTATCGTAACAACAGGCATCAAAATTCAACTTGCAATCTCAGCCGCGTAAGCAGTTTGTGATACCTTTGTTTTAATTTCTAAGTATGTATGAGGAAAGGCTTGCAATTACATTGTACGGATACATACCTATCCAATTCAACATAAATTAAAAAATGTTCTATTAAAATACAAGTGAAATGTATCTGAAAATTAAAGTTTTAAAAATTTTTTATTTTATGTAGTTAAGATCGTTACCTTTCATTATTATACATTTACATACGTAATGTATTTATTAAGTTATTTATAATAACCAAAAACTCATTACTACTTTTTTTTAAATTTCAAGACTTATGAGAATTTTTTTAATCTAATTTTAAAACAAAGTTTAAAAAATAAAATTAAGTTTGATAAAGTTAATTTAGAAGTTATAACAAAATATATATTTAACATTTGAAAAGACAATTTTTATTAAGTAAATATGTATTAATGCAAATTTAGATAATATAGAGGAAAAAAATACTATTACATTATAAACTTATAATAGCGTATCGATACACCTTGGATTTAATTTTAGTAAGCAATATACAAAATTTAGTTTAAAATTGTACAATTATATATAAACAAAAAAAAAGCGTAACATAAAAATAAATTTAAGGTAGAGTTATTGTACCTGTAAATCAGTGAGCCTAAATATGAAAAAAAATCTTGTAAATTCGTGTAAATCTACGCGAAAATGTATTTATCAAATTGAATCGTTTTTTTTACGTGTGGTTTTGTGGACTGATTCTATAGTTATTAGATGTGTACCTTGAAAATAGCATTTTGAGTAGCATTGTAGGTAGCACCCGAATGCAGAAATGCAAAATAACTACATAATATCTCAATTTTAGATTTTTGCGGGGATCCCCTTAATACCTCATTTTAATTGTTCTCATGACCTTGCATGTTAATTATTTTCATACTAACACTTCTCTCATATTTTAAATTGTAGGCCTTTTTTCCATAATTCCTCACGTCTTTCTTTTATTTATTTATATTTTGGACCTTTAGCTATCTTCCTTTCTTTTAGTATTCTATTGACTTATATATTAATTAGATACCGGGAGAGTATTATTTCACTTTATTTACTTGTAGACCTCGCAAAACTTGTACCGTGCAGAAATTTAAAGTTTGGTTGCATGCAGCAGAATTGCAACTGGGCTATTAGCTACCAGGAACCGAGATTATTTCATAAGTATTGAGAAGGAAACTCTTAAATTATTAATGTTCTTAGATTTTGTAATTATATCTGTAATATCTATAATATAATATTAGCTTTATTTAGACTGTTTCTAAAATCCCTAGACTTACTTCCAATTCAAAGTAATGTAATCTCGTCTCGTTAAAAGTGCAAAGACGTTCTCCTTATTCGTATTCGGGACGTGGCATACCCATTCGTAAAGTTTTTTAAACGGTTTTTGTACAATACGGAAGAATGGAAACGGTCTGATCACTTAATATTTATAACAGGTAACTCGAGCAAATGATGGATTTTATACAAACACAACAAAATGAAATATTACCCTTAAAATTTAAACGTAATTGTTCATTTTTATAGCAACATCTTTCTATTTAAATACATGTATTGAATTGGTATCCTTTACGGCTAGGGGTCTGACTGGGACAGCCAAATAGCAGTCTGCACTAGTATGTTCTAGTTTGACAGGTATAGGGAGCCAGTATTATTACAGTCTGTGAAGCATCCCATCTTTGTCTTCACAGGTGACAACTCGTCTTTAGCCTTCTTTGTTTGAAGTTGACTGCAGGTGTCCATGGGTCGCACTAGCCACTTACCATCAGATGGCTTGTAATTTGCTTCACTACAGTTTAATAAAAAATAATAAGTTGCAACATGTTCCAGCCAATATCTGACATTTACGCAGCACTAAGGTCTTTGTTAATATTAGAATAACTATTACGTCTTCCCCTATAAAAAAACTGTTTTTTATTTTAAAAAAATATACAAAGATGATATATTTAGATATTTTATAAGCTACTAACGCGTATGAGAATACACTTTTGCGATTTAAATAAAAGTTCATTAATGGCTGCTATATGAATCCTGGGAGGCGATCTATATCTCTAGGTGCTGTTATGAATTATTAACACATTTGGAGCATGAATTGGCTGGCTCTCCTGTATATATTGCAACGAACATTTCCGATTAATACGATTATTTTCGATACAAAGGAATAACTCGTCATATAGAACATCCTAAGTTACAATCAGATTCAAAATCCCCACATTCAAATTAAATTAATTTTTAATAAACCTTGTCTTGAAAGTGTACGGTTTTAACGTGGTTGAATTTGTTTACACAATAAATTTCAGTTGGACATAATTAACTTTGTATCCAGTCGTCCACGGGGGTCATTGTTGAAGTCGAAATTTCCCGAGCGAGAGTGATTAAACCCAATATGCACCTTGCGTTCATTAATGGTACATGTACGATACGCAATATTAATTACGTGCACCCATACTAATTATATGAACCCATACCTAATATCAATGTATATGTTAGCGGCCAAACTAAATTTCAGGCCAAGCTAGTTTGTCCCAGGCCAAACCGGTTTATTCGAAGCGTGTTAGGACATACTAGTGTAGCCCAGGGCAATCTAGTTTGGCCTAAATACTTTAGGAGTAACTAGTTTGGCCTTGGCAAAATTGATTAAATCATTGCATAATCTAATCTAACCTAACCTAACCTAATAACATTAAAATCACTACACAACATTATAACAGACTTCAAAAAATGAGAAGGTTCTCAATTCGAATTTATATATTTTTTATGTATGTATATTCGGGCATAGCTCCGTCATATACACAAGGATTTGCAAAATTCTTTCTTTGTTTGAAAGAGGTGTATTACGAAATGATATCATTTAGATTTCGTTAATATCTGATGATAAGTTTCGAAGACTTCAATAAATACAAATCAACCGCGATTGCTGCTGTCGCATATCTATGCATTATTTATGCAATCACACAACATAAAATCACGCTTGCACAGTCTAAAGGGGTTCGCAAACGTGTTCAGTATACCACGGTACACCCTCATTTCTGTTAAAGTTGTTATATTGAAGTTGGCACGTTTGCACAATCTAAAGGGGTACGCAAACGTGTTCAGTATACCACGGTACACCCTCATTTCTGTTAAAGTTGTTATATTGAAGTTGGCACGCTTGCACAATCTAAAGGGGTACGCAAACGTGTTCAGTATACCACGGTACACCCTCATTTCTGTTAAAGTTGTTATATTGAAGTTGGCACGCTTGCACAATCTAAAGGGGTACGCAAACGTGTTCAGTATACCACGGTACACCCTCATTTCTGTTAAAGTTGTTGTATTGGAAGTTGGCACGCTTGCACAATCTAAAGGGGTACGCAAACGTGTTCAGTATACCACGGTACACCCTCATTTCTGTTAAAGTTGTTATATTGAAGTTAGCACGCTTGCACAATCTAAAGGGGTACGCAAACGTGTTCAGTATACCACGGTACACCCTCATTTCTGTTAAAGTTGTTATATTGAAGTTGGCACGCTTGCACAATCTAAAGGGGTACGCAAACGTGTTCAGTGTACCACGGTACACCCTCATTTCTGTGAAAGTTGTTATATTGAAGTTGGCACGCTTGCACAATCTAAAGGGGTACGCAAATGTGTTCAGTATACCATGGTACACCCTCATTTCTGTTAAAGTTGTTATATTGAAGTTGGTGGTACAAATTTTTTAATTGTACCACTTGTCTTCAAGGCTTTGTTAAGTTATTATTTTCAATAATTATTTTCAATAATCTGTTAATTGGTTTGTTGCGCAAACAGTTACAGGCAATAGACACTTGCAACCAAAATAGGTCACAAATGGAATGTCATCTCTTTAGTGATTTTAATTTTAATTTATTAACTTATTTGTATAATTTGTGTACTCTTTCCTCCTAGCTATTCGCTATATAAAGGAATAAATTGTTTCCAGAGCGACAAGACCGTCTGTTGTAGACGGTGTCAGCGCTCTGGAAGCTACCTTTCTTATATATTAATTTTTGGTTTGATTTCAATGTTTATAGTTGTACAATAAAAACAATATTACATTGATTGATTGAAAACCTCATCAAAATAGTTTAAAATTTTATAATAGCTTTCATCTCCTATTATTCCCCTTAGGGGTAGAGTATTCAAAATTATTTCTAATAGAAAGCTTCTAACTCTAATATCAAAGATATAATTGAAACAAGGCATAATTTCAAACAATCTTTTCCCATTAAGGGATTGTCAAAAATAGTGAAACGCATATTTCTTAGTTTTTAAAGCTAAAGCCTAAAATGAAATTTTTATTTAGTTTACTTAAAAATTTACTTTCATCCCCTTTATGACATATTTGGGGTGAATATTCCAAAAATCCTGAAATACGTGTGTCTTATTTTTCAACCGAAAGCCCAAAAGGAACCAATTTTACCGATCCAATATTTTCTGGATAAATCGGGGCAGATTTTTTTAAGTTTTTAAATATGCATTCTACACATGATTATCATGATTTCGTTTTAATGGTATCGCCACCACCTTGCAAAATTAAAAATATTCTTTTCGCGCAAATTTTATACCCTCGTATTAATACTTATTGTTAAATTTTCGGAAAATAAAAAATATATATTTCATTATTTTAAACCAAAAGTATATATTGCATCAAATTTTCACCATACAAATATGGAAACCGCTCCGTAAAATAAAGTGTACAAACTGTTTTACTATTATTACTATTTTACCCTTACTCACCAAGGATGCGAATTTTCCAAAATCCTTTCTTGGTGATGGATATTCAGCGTTTTAGGCTGACCCTCAAAATAAAATATTCATACAAACTTTACACCCTAGTTTTAAACATAAAAATAGTAACATTTCATAGTAATAGTAATATGTACATCGTGTTTCGTCGTAGAGAGAGCTTTTATCGAAATTTATAAAAAGTTCTACTCTCTCAACACGCAGAGTACATTTAGGCAGCAATGTGTTTATACGATAGAAAATGTTTTACAAAGGTTTTGTAGAGTTTGAATTTTTAGCGACAGAGTTTACCTATTTAAACTATAATATACATTTATAGTCACTATTAAGAGGTTAGAGTAAGTCAGCTCAAATTCTAATTTCGCCCCCACTTCCCCGCGCGTCGTATGCTATGTACCGAAATATTTGTAATCACTAATACTGTAAGTAGAAAGGTCGTTAGACACTTATTTCATTAGGTTTATCATATTTATGCCTGTTTCTTAAAGCCAAGCCAGCCGCTTCTTATTTTTATCACGGTTATTTCCCATTTTAATTTTACGTCGTACTGTTGCGTAATGTATATTCTGATCGTAAGCGACACAACTTTTCCCTTCAAAAGCCTAAGCGATACTAACGGAACGACAGGAATCAAGCTCAAGACGCCGATAGTTTAAGTAATTTCTTTTTACACGTGAAAATAATGGTATTTTAAAAAAAGTAAATAACATAAGCAAAATTAATGCTGCAATATTTTCGGCATAACGAAGGATCTTGCTAAGCCATTTGACATTATATTTCCCCTTAAGAGTTCAAAATAACGAGAAGAGTCACCAATTTTTTTTTTTTGGAAGCGGCTGAGTCATCAAGGAAAAATGTTAATGCTACCCTTTTAACGAAATTTTATAGATTTTTTAGTTACGCTAAATACTTTTCAAAATTAATAAGAGACAGCAATGAAATATACGAGTATACATGCTGTAACTTTACTATTATTAAAAACCCATTACAATAGTTACCTAAAATTTGTGATATTACATCGACCATGAAAAGGGTAAAATAAATTTTCTTTTTATAAAAAGGAAAACCTACATCAAAACTAAAAAAACACGGGGTTTTACTCGTAATCATTTAAAAAATAACTTCAGAGCGCCACTTTTATGTGGAATTCATTTTTTTTAATTTCTCGCCTTGAAAAATAATAACCTTCAAAAATAGGAAGGTATATATTTCGATTCGATTTTGAGAATGCGAGTTTACATCATATTTCTATGTTTTGAGGTTCTAGGAAGCTGTTTCTACTATTTCCAGCTGGACTTCCGGCCATGTATGTGTGTGTGTGTGTGTGTGTGTGTGTGTGTGTGTGTGTGTGTGTGTGTGTGTGTGTGTATGTGTGTGTGTGTGTGTGTGTTATATATATAAATAAAATTTTGTCGAACGATATCCTTAGAACTAATCAACCGATCGAGATGAGCGCAAGGCGTTTAAAAGTGTTTATTGAGATTGTCGTTTTAAAGCCGTTTTAAAGATATTCAAAAAATAGAAATGTAAAAAATACTTTTTTAAAGTTTTTCTAAATTACTTTCAAAATATTTGACTAATCAACTCCAGATATCAATCACATGTTTGTACTTGAAACACTGCGTCGAATGTTGTCACGTAAGTCAAAATCAAACGAGGCGATCAAAAGTCATAGCCATATAAAAATTTCTAAATAATCGTTTTTTAAGCTCAAACGAGCTTAAAAATCAACCAAATGGAGGATTTTCTAGCGTTACAAGCTCAAAAAAATCAGGAAGCCTACCGGTCAACCGCTTTTCAGATTTTTAATTAGTTCTTGAACTCTATTTTACTTTTTATTAAAAGTTTAATTATATACTGTATTTTTGATACTATCCGGGAAATAGGGACAGAAAAAGGAATGTGTACTGAATATTTTACTGTCATTTTTGTTTTTCTCCGATATAAACCGTAAACTCTAAAAAAAATTTTAAATTTGCATCTATATAATTTAGTATTACATTTTTTAGATATATATTAGATCATGTAGTAAACACGTACTAAGCGAACTAGAAACTATTTTATTCGTGGACGAGAATTAATTTAATTAAGACTCTTGCCAGTGCTCTCAAACAATTTAAACCTAAAGATACGAGTAGTGAAGATTAAAATTGCTGCCTACGTCCCTTTTATGTTCAACAAAAGGGACGTCGGCATTGTTATACATTATGTGTATGTATAGTATATTATGTGTGTATAATACGAATTTATGTTAACCCTTATTGTAATAAATAAACAAATAATGATTTAAATTAGTATTTATATACTCGTATTATGTTCGAGAATACCAGATTATATTAGCACAAACCTTACTCCATTATCGAATGCGGACGCATGCTGTCTTGATTTAACTGTGGACCAAAGCTTATTCAAAATATAACTATAGGTTCATTCTCACTCATTCGCCGGAATCAGCAAACTGTTTTCCTTTTGTACAGTGTATTGTTCAAGCTTATAACTCTGAACAATTTAATGTAAAATGTTTCATGATCATGATAAACCGAATAAAGTTCTACCTACGTTAAGACGGGAAACTTATTCTCGCACAAAATGTTATCGAAATAAATTCACGGTCAATGCTATCCCGCTTATGGAACGAACTGCTTCCATTGAGACCATTTGCCAACTTTAGACCTTTGTTGCGTTTCTATATTTATTTATATAATTTTATTTACATATTTTATATACGTATTTTTATGTATATCTTTTATATTTATTTATTTTGAATATATTATTGTAACATTCTAGTATGGTATATTATATTGACCAAAAGTAGCGTTTACAAAAATTTTAACAGTTTTAGAAGGATTGATTGTGGGTTCAAATCCTGGGTCGGTCTACAATAAATTAGATTTGGGTTTTTCTGTCAAAAATTATCAACAGAAGACAAAAATTTGGCTGTGTTTCACCCGCGTGACTCGGGAATCTCGTAGAGCTCTTGGTTAGTCCTGCGCCTGTTCCCCCTGATTGGGTAGCATTGCCGTCTCATCTCATTAGTAACTAATCCTGATGGATAGTCTTTGTTGAGACCGCCCAGTGTGAATTTGGTCTGGAGGACATTACATTTTTTTATAGAAGAGGGGGCAAACGAGCACGCGACTACCAGTGAGGAAGCGACTACCACCGCTCATGAATAACTGTAACACCAGGACTAGGCTACAACGATTGGCTTTATTTATAAAGACATTAACATGTTTTAACATCATCATTACAGCCGACCAAAATCATTACTACTGAACAAATTATATCTTCGCATAAATTGCATTTACGTAGCAGTTGCTACGCTTGTCAAGCGGATTGGCAACTGTAGTTTTTTTTTTAAATTATATAAGCCGAAAGCAGTAAAATGCGCTGATTTATTACTATTTTTTAAGCCGTAGGGGTTTTTTAGGGCCACAAGATGCTGCTCATCCCTCAGTTTCCGTTTACTTTACTACCGCATGAGCTTATTAGCATGTTAGCTTATTATAATATAGCAACACCACCTTTTACTGTGTAATTGTAAAATTTTTGTTTAATCTTAAAGTTATCTGGTAGAGATCGCTCTTCAGCTTCAGCTTACCGCAGATACCGCCCTTTTACACCTACTTCCGAAGTTTTTCTTTCTGAAATCCTTTTGTTTTCGTATTTTATGGTATCGGTAAAGTAATATGAATACGTAACGACATGATTAAATACGCAGGTAGCTGATGGATACAAATGTTTTAGGAAGCGTACTTTGTGGCAATCTTTGGGGAGACGTATATTCAGCAGCAGCCTTTTAATGGGACGTAGTGCATTGTGGATAATGGACATAATAATGAAATTAAAAATATGGCAATATATTTTTCACCTTTAAAAATATTTTTCTCTGCGTAAACAAAATAGTTT